TACCATCGACTAAACTGGAAGTCCTTCATGTATAAACATAGCAGCTACTTCAGCTTATGGGCTTGAAACTCAAAAAATGTCGGCATGTGCAAGCATTATGTCCAAAATCGCTTCTAAGAAAACCACGGTAAATAATGGAAACAAACCAATTGAGATCATGTGTTTCCTGCATCTCTCAACTCCATAAATTTTTGGCAAATTTGCGTGAATCTAGAGAGCATGTATCCGGTAAATTTGTGCCAAACAGTTTCAATTATTTGGGCTAAACATCGTGCAAACCAACAAGAATCGGCCGTTGATTTGTGGATTTGTACCACGTTAGAATATTACTGTTCACCTGCATGCCAGATAAACAGGACTCTCGTGTTACCGCCTCAAGAATTTACCTGTTTCACTGCACATGCGGTGGTGTTTACCTCGGACGAAACGAGAGGAGCATGTCCACGAGGATTTTAGAGCATGTTCCCCGAAACCTACTCACGGATGGTATGAAGCTGCTCGCCAGTTCAGTCACCCACAACATGCTTGATTGCTGCATGTGTGCGACGTCACGTGAATAATCTATGACCTAGATTATCCTACCGTAATCAACCGACCGAGCGCCGCTCGCCTACTTCAGTTCGCTGAGGCTTCGGAAATTATGCGGCTAAAATCCACTTTGTGTAAGACAACTGATTTCGTCGCCAGTCTTGCTCTGCCTTGATCAGGCTGATAATCAGGTTCCTCAAAGCGGAACGCAGGCTAGTATCAGATATACTCTGATCTTTTTTGATTAGCCGTTGACGTTACACATTGTATGTGTATGCAACACAACCGTTCCACTAATTTTATGTAAATGGCTGCAGAGAATACGCGAAATTCTAAGTTTAGCTAATCCTGTCGAGATATCATTCTTTCTTGCGCCTTTAATTTTTTTAAGGCTATTTACGTACGACGTTTTGCTTACTAGGAAAGGAGTACACATTCAATATTAAAATGCCTCGTTGGGATCTTTGTAAATTGTCTCCTCGAGACCCGACTTCTTGATTTTATTCCCGATTATTTTATCCGCACTTTTTCGATTTTTGTTTCCTTGTATATAGGTTGCTTAAAAGCAATCTGCCGCCATATTGTTGTTTTATTTTTTACATGCATGGAATGCTTCTTTGGCTTCAAAGTATTCCAACATGATTTCTCTTGGACCAATTTGCAGTTTGATCGAAACACTTGGGTTCAACCTTGTATGAATTTTTGGGAACACAGTAGTATTCATTCCACTATCCTTGTGGTATCCCGTAAAGTTCACCTCAGCAACGGATGAATTTCATTCACCGGAATTGAAATGCCGGTTTCCTCAACATCTGCGAACGTACTTGGAATCAGATTTGCTTTTGTCCATGCACTACTAATGGAAGCATGTTCTGAGTAACGAATACTTAAAACTGAGACTAGGGAAAACGAATGTAAACATCTGCGTTGCTACATCGTAGGTAGCTCGGGCACATCTGGCGGGGACATCACAGTCCACTAATTCCGTCGCGGTTGCTGCATGTTACAGCTGCAAGACTTCTTATCCGGTTGCCGCACGTTCCCTATACCTGTAGTCCACAAAGTGGGTGTCAAAGAATCTCTTAAATTCCGAGGCTGATTTTGCCTCAACCACCGTCTACGGCAACTTGTGCTAATTATTCACCACTCAACGTTGGAAGCATACAGGGTGAGCAATGTGTTTTAAATCCAGTGCCACTAGTTTTTACCAGTGTCCGCGTGTGCTGCTTTGTGCGCGAAAGTAAGTCAGCGGCTTCAACATAGGGAAGTGGTCCAGGTGCAGTATCTGGTACGTCCTAAAGAGAACAAACTTGAAACCGACGATATAGCGTATAAAGCCCAAATCTCCTATATCGGTCCTCGTACGATATGCCTTCTAAACTGAGGATAAGCCAGGTAGCCACATGCTGGACCCGTTCTAGTCTCTGCATCTCACCTACTCTGATCGGATAATATGTGGGTGAGCTGTACTCAAGCACTGGTTTTATTATGGAAGAGAACAGACGGGTAGCAATCTCTGCAGAACAAGTGTAGAAGCTGCGTCGAAGTGCCCACAGTAGCCGTAGTCCGTTTGTGTATGGCCTGTTCGTGGTGTCAACAGACTTCATAGCACAGCATAAGAATGCTCCGCGATACTTTGCTGAAGTGGTGGGATGCAGCGGGTGGTCAACCATGGTGTACGCACGCCCAATAGCACCCGTCTCCAGGCTCATAGCAGAGGACTTGCCCCGGTTGACCGGTAGGTCAACTTCTGCAGACCACCGAGATAGGTGGTTGAGGTGTTGCTGAAGGAGGTCACAGTCGCTGGGCGAATCAATAATCCTCCAAAGTTTCCGATCATCCGTAAGTAATACGCAGCAGCTAAGGTACATCGTTCACCTAAATCAGCAACAAAATTGGCTCCAGTACTGATCCTTGGGTCATGCCTCTAGTGGAAGGGGACCGTTCCTTTAGGTGGTCATCCATCTGAACCCGCCATCTTCTCCCAATAAGGAATTCACTGATCCACTGGTGCAGGGCGCCAACAACACCACACATTTCAGCTTGTGGAGCATGACCTCGTGGTTCACTTTATCGGAAACTTTACTGAAATCACTGTAGATAATATCCACTGACTACCCCTGTTTAAACGCTTGCAACCATTTTTGCCGCTTCGACAGCAGGCTGGTGATGCAAGAGCGACACTTCACAAAGCCGTGCTGTTCCGGGGTCTAAAGATCTTTCTACTCTAACATCTGGAGAAGACCCTTTTTACTCTCCTTGAGCACCTTTTTTAAACAGTGGTGAGAAAAATCGGCCGGTAGTTGTCCACGTTACCTGGGTCACCAACTTTTGGCATCGGCTTTACTACCGAACATTTCCAGTAGCTCGTCTGTGCACACACGCACAGCGATCTGTTGAACAGATGCGTCACGGCATTTGAACTGGTGGCCCATAAAGACTTCAACGAATTCGGCAGGTTTCGTTCCATCGAGACTGGCGAATAGACTGCGAACATCTTCTACACCGAAACCATGGCCCTCGAACTCAGTAGGTGCTGCATACATCCAGCTCGGCACAGGCAAACCTTGCTTGTATATACGGAAGGGAAGTGCTCCGCTAGCGCGGAAGAACGTCGCTTGCAGGCCTCAGACACCGCTTCACGCAAGCAAAAATATTCTAGGAGGCCACCTTCGCTGATGGTGCGATATTCTCTTTGGACCGCTGAGGACTTCGTGCTTTTGCGCTTTTGTATTGAATGTGTTGCCTTTTGTACGCCTCAACCTCGTCCGCGGCAAAAGACATGAGGAATATATTCCACAATACGCGTCGCCGTTCAGTCGATAACTTTACTCTCTGTCGGACCAAGCTAGTTTTACTGCTCCAGTTTTCCGATAATTGAGGTTTACGGAGAGAGCACATAACGAATACCTACTCTCTTTTATAACAGACCAACGTGTTTAAACAGATGAATCTTGTGGTAGCGAGCAGTCTACTTCACTGGCTGCGTGATTGAGGTCACTGACGTCCGTCTTCCAATAGTTTTAGGACGGCTCTGGCAGACGCGATTAGGGCTGCGGCTGCTCTATGCCGACTAACGCCATCGAGTGGTCACGAGCTGCCACAGGCTCCAGGACCTGAATTTCATGTACGGGTTGCTCGCAACTTTTTAGTAATAGGTTCAGGCACGATGCAGCGGAATTCAGTGTAATGCGCATCGTTTGGCAGACATGTTCTGCGCCAGTTTAAATATCATCGCGTACTACGCCTTGACTTCTCACTACCCTAGGAGAAATTAAACCGCAGGCCACTGTATCCTAAGTAAGCTAAAATCACTCATAAGCATGAAGCTGGTTCGGCTCGTTTAGTTTCTGGCATGCGGCAACCAATCCAGATATCGACTACGTTGGCTGCGATGAGCCGCATCTACAAACACCTCACTTAGTCGCAGGGGGATCCAGCTTCCTAACTGTGCGCACAGGCAATTTTTGCTACGGTAGGTTGGTACCAGTCTTCCGCACAGTAAGGACCTAGCGTATTACGAAACGCTTCCAAGATCGTTTGATAATCTATCGCACCGGAAGCAGGATTAACCACTGTTCTGGACTTGATTTGTAGTGACCTAAATATTTAACCGTTTTTCGTATGGTCCCAGTACGCCCGGACGACCTGAGGTAACGAAATATAATGCGTGGTCACGTTTGCTTATTAAACTACAAACGTTTATAAAGGCTACGCGCAGATCGCGGTAAGAACCGGCAGACGCATTTGAAGCGTCACCGAGCTGTTGATGCGAGTTGGGCGGACCCGGGGAACTGCCAGCAAACTTATAATGTGGTGATTGCTTTCTCCACTATAATTCCGCGGCTTTAAGTCCACGGTAGCGGACTTCAATTTCTCTTTGTCCGATAGATGCAAATCGGAACGAATATGGATATTTAAAGCTCTCAGCCTGCCGAGGCATGATATTATGAGCCTCGGACTCGTTGCACCAATAAAAGTAACTCACAGAGTCCGGGATTTCCCCTCCTCGCTCTTTCCAAAAGGGATGATTTGCTTCACCTTAAACCTCTGCTCATTCACGTGGAGAAGCCTATCAATAAAGATCTGCAGAAAATCCACATCCTGATTATAACGAGCCTGAGGACGAGCTTCTGTCAACCCAGGCTTACAGATGACACATTATTTATTTTATTTCGTGACAATGGGATCGAAATGGTCAATGGGTGGACTGGAACCAATGATGTTTACATGGACATTTTGCAAGTGTTTGATCTTTTTGACCATCGAATCCTGCTGCACAAACTTCACAACTACGGCATTGGAGATCCAGCATTCGAATGAATCCGTAAGTTGCTTCATGAACGGAAATTATAGATTAGGGGCGAAGCAATTCTGTCTGACTCTATTCGAATAAACTGTAGCCTACTACATGTTTCGTTACTTGGAAGTTGTCTGTTCTTTCATTGAGTAACGGTATAAGTGGAGTTATTAATTCAGTAAATTTACTATTCTAGTACGACGTTACAAGCATGAGGCATGAAAATTGTCAGTTAGGAATGCACTGTCTTTCAATATGGACAAGTGCCGCGTTGTCCACATCCATTATCGACATGCCTACATTTACAAATTGAAGGGCAAATCTGGAGACAAGTTCTCAGGAACTTGACCTCCGTGTGCAGGTATTGGATTATTTCGCTTTTCCCATGCAGGCAGAATTCGCTTTGAAATGAGGTAACTAGCATGTTAGTTTCTTGCAAAGGGCTTTCGGGATTTTCGATACAGCCAACTTCTCTCTGATGCTCAATGCATGCGTCAATCACCACGTCGAATACGCAAATCAGGCTTAGGGTTTTTGGCTGCAGTGGGATTTTGAAACGCTCGAAGCTCTCCATCGGCTTGCTACTAAATTTTTCGTAGGATTGCTTAACCATCCCCAACAACAATGACTGTAGACACTAGGACGGTACAGTGTGCTCGAACGGAGCTACGTGCTTTATATTTCAGCCATAGCTGCCCACCTTGTCGACAGAGGCGACGACAATACGTCAGCCGTAGCACTCCAAATTTTCTACAAGGCTCCGAATAATCGATCGAAGTATGTGCGCAGACGGATACTAGAAACCGCTGAAGCTATAGCAATCCGGTTGTACGAATCAAACTTGTGCACTAAGAAGCTATTTGTTTAGGCATTAAAACTGCCCTGGCCCGGTCGACCAGTGATTTATACTCTGTTGGAAGGTGCGAACACTCCGACATAGACCTGATTATTGGCGATAGTTGACCTCTCGTAAATTGATTTAATCCCTTTTAATTGACTCAATAGTCTGTCTAATCAATGTAATTGGAATATACTTGTGCTAAACTGATGAAGAATTATCGAACATATATGTTCGCTAACATTGACTTTTGATCTCATATTAGTCTACCAAATATTGAGTGATCACATTTAAGTATACAGCGTCCTACTGAAACTCAGCCCAAACGCTAAACGCAGAGGCAACAGACTAAAGCTAAGAAAACAAAAAGTCCTCTAGATTGTGGACGAAATTACTTCTCCCTTCGGGTTTACCATCCATGGTGCGATTTTCCAAACTCACTTGTCGGTGCCTCATACATTAGCTGTTATCAAAAAACGAAATCGAAGTGAACTCCCTACGAGTTGTTGCGTGAAGCGATTTAATGCATATATCCAGGCTAACTAGACTGTCTGGAATTAGAACTCATGGAGACGCAAGTAAACCTGTGCAGGTTGGTGAGCAAACTTCTTGTTATTTACCATTAATATTAAAGGTAACAACATACTATTTTAGAGGGTCAAGTATGGATTACACGTTGTGTGATTGGATTGCGACACGCAACCTCAATATAATGGACTGTGATTCACATTGAAATGAACCTTAGTCACTGCGATCGCTGGGACCGTATTCAAAGTAGATGGAAATTGGGTATTGCCCACCCGAAAATACTGCACAACCACGACGCGTTTCGATGTAATTTTTCATCTCATCAGGTGGAGACAGCAGGATTTGAACCCAGGACCATTGGAATAGCAGCCAACACTACTACCCCTTTGGCTACCGGGTCACGATGGGCAACACATTTTGTCACAACGGTAGATGACTAATTGGAGGGTCAAGTTTGGATTACACGTTGTGTGATTGGATTGCGACACGCAACCTCAATATAATGGACTGTGATTCACATTGAAATGAACCTTAGTCACTGCGATCGCTGGGACCGTATTCAAAGTAGATGGAAATTGGGTATTGCCCACCCGAAAATACTGCACAACCACGACGCGTTTCGATGTAATTTTTCATCTCATCAGGTGGAGACAGCAGGATTTGAACCCAGGACCATTGGAATAGCAGCCAACACTACTACCCCTTTGGCTACCGGGTCACGATGGTCCTGGGTTCAAATCCTGCTGTCTCCACCTGATGAGATGAAAAATTACATCGAAACGCGTCGTGGTTGTGCAGTATTTTCGGGTGGGCAATACCCAATTTCCATCTACTTTGAATACGGTCCCAGCGATCGCAGTGACTAAGGTTCATTTCAATGTGAATCACAGTCCATTATATTGAGGTTGCGTGTCGCAATCCAATCACACAACGTGTAATCCAAACTTGACCCTCCAATTAGTCATCTACCGTTGTGACAAAATGTGTTGCCCATCGTGACCCGGTAGCCAAAGGGGTAGTAGTGTTGGCTGCTATTCCAATGGTCCTGGGTTCAAATCCTGCTGTCTCCACCTGATGAGATGAAAAATTACATCGAAACGCGTCGTGGTTGTGCAGTATTTTCGGGTGGGCAATACCCAATTTCCATCTACTTTGAATACGGTCCCAGCGATCGCAGTGACTAAGGTTCATTTCAATGTGAATCACAGTCCATTATATTGAGGTTGCGTGTCGCAATCCAATCACACAACGTGTAATCCAAACTTGACCCTCCAATTAGTCATCTACCGTTGTGACAAAATGTGTTGCCCATCGTGACCCGGTAGCCAAAGGGGTAGTAGTGTTGGCTGCTATTCCAATGGTCCTGGGTTCAAATCCTGCTGTCTCCACCTGATGAGATGAAAAATTACATCGAAACGCGTCGTGGTTGTGCAGTATTTTCGGGTGGGCAATACCCAATTTCCATCTACTTTGAATACGGTCCCAGCGATCGCAGTGACTAAGGTTCATTTCAATGTGAATCACAGTCCATTATATTGAGGTTGCGTGTCGCAATCCAATCACACAACGTGTAATCCAAACTTGACCCTCCAATTAGTCATCTACCGTTGTGACAAAATGTGTTGCCCATCGTGACCCGGTAGCCAAAGGGGTAGTAGTGTTGGCTGCTATTCCAATGGTCCTGGGTTCAAATCCTGCTGTCTCCACCTGATGAGATGAAAAATTACATCGAAACGCGTCGTGGTTGTGCAGTATTTTCGGGTGGGCAATACCCAATTTCCATCTACTTTGAATACGGTCCCAGCGATCGCAGTGACTAAGGTTCATTTCAATGTGAATCACAGTCCATTATATTGAGGTTGCGTGTCGCAATCCAATCACACAACGTGTAATCCAAACTTGACCCTCCAATTAGTCATCTACCGTTGTGACAAAATGTGTTGCCCATCGTGACCCGGTAGCCAAAGGGGTAGTAGTGTTGGCTGCTATTCCAATGGTCCTGGGTTCAAATCCTGCTGTCTCCACCTGATGAGATGAAAAATTACATCGAAACGCGTCGTGGTTGTGCAGTATTTTCGGGTGGGCAATACCCAATTTCCATCTACTTTGAATACGGTCCCAGCGATCGCAGTGACTAAGGTTCATTTCAATGTGAATCACAGTCCATTATATTGAGGTTGCGTGTCGCAATCCAATCACACAACGTGTAATCCAAACTTGACCCTCCAATTAGTCATCTACCGTTGTGACAAAATGTGTTGCCCATCGTGACCCGGTAGCCAAAGGGGTAGTAGTGTTGGCTGCTATTCCAATGGTCCTGGGTTCAAATCCTGCTGTCTCCACCTGATGAGATGAAAAATTACATCGAAACGCGTCGTGGTTGTGCAGTATTTTCGGGTGGGCAATACCCAATTTCCATCTACTTTGAATACGGTCCCAGCGATCGCAGTGACTAAGGTTCATTTCAATGTGAATCACAGTCCATTATATTGAGGTTGCGTGTCGCAATCCAATCACACAACGTGTAATCCAAACTTGTCCCTCCAAAGACTTTTGTTATTTGTTTATTGCCTGGCTGTTTGTTGTACTGCTTCTTTTTTCTGCGCATTTTGCTTGTGGTTTCCACATGTACGTCGGCTGGATCCATCCTTAACAACCAACTGACTTGGATACGATCCATTCAACTGGATATGAAGCGCAAATTATCATGCTGACTATTTCAATCATTATACTAAATGGAGTATCTTTTCGCGATTCTAGCGGCATGCTACTTTGATTGGGTCTAAACGAATAGTTTGGTTCACCTCGCCATATAGGTACCACAAATTACTCACCCGGAATTATATTTTAATATATATCTCGTGTTCCAGTACTGAGTTGAGATTATTTTTCTGCGATTATCTTAAATTGTCACAAATAGATTTGCTCATTTTTAGTAGCAACCAAACAAATACTTTTAGTCCGTTTCATTAATGCTGGAACATTTTAATATTTAAGTTAGTTGGAGCTTTGCCAATAGCGTTTCTTGGTGTTTATACCTGAAAAATTTTAACGTCACTTCACTATAATTTACTTTTGATATAACTGAATTTTTACGACGGTTTTCAGCTTTATTACTTTTACAATTCTACTTCTGTTCTGAAAAAATGAATGGAAACTTCCTAGGGTGCCTGTACTTGAATTTGGAATTGCGTTATCACCTAAGATAGGCCGAACTTAGCCACAGTGACCTACTGCACACACCACATGACATGTGCAGGTTGAATAGCTGAAAGCCTAGCCTTCACATCTGAACCAGTATAGCACAAAAGTAAATCCATCATCCGTTAGGTAGAAAGTCATACTCTCTTTCACAATGCTTTACAGGACGCTCCAAGACATTTCACACATCGAGCGTTTTCAACAACTTATGGCGGATCACGCCTAAGCAACCTGGTTGGCCAAAGCAGACAGGCGTCATACGACAGCGAATTCCTGAGTGAACAACCATTCTACAATATACATTACCAGGTAAACATTACAAATCGCGCAGTTCGACGGCAGTATACCAGGACGCGGCGGACTTTTGCCTGGCAAGATTCGTCTAGATAACAAGGTACAAATGTCCGCTTAAAACACTGTGACGTGTAGAAGGTGCATCCGCACTGAATAATGTCACAGCCTACCGATTCAAACGGACAAGGTAACTAGAGCCACCTTTCAATATGTTTAGGTACGTACACCGAAATAACCTTACCTTGTCCCTAGTTCTTCACTACTTCACTTATTAGGCTTTAATGCTAATCTCAACACCACACATTTGAACCCAGATTAGCTCTGCGTTGTTAATGATTATTTTCCTCAACATTATAACGCTCACTTCAATAACTACGCTGTATTATGTGATCAGCCCCTTGCATTCGAAGCGATGTGCCTTTTGCAAAACGTTAGCGTCTATAAAGTCTACATCATGCCTTCGTTATTGTGCAGTGATGAATTCCAGAATGCCAGCTTTAGTAATAAACTGAGCACCCTGCAATTCAGCAAATCGCTTAGATACCGCTAGCACGTAACTCGTCCTAACTTCCTTGAACGTGCCCGCTCCTCATCCACCTTCAGCCTCAACAACTGATACGCTTATCGACAAGGTTAAATACCAATACACTAACTTGAAGAATACGACTTGCTACCGGTCTCGCAACTTTCGTCTCCTCCATGATAGATCCTTGACGCTTGACTTACATGACCGGATTTTCGACCCTTACCGACTGTAGTAGTATCAGCCTCGTGCGTCAAAGGTTACACCATAGAACACGATATTGCGTCATATGCCGTGTCCAGAAGCCTGGTATTTCTTCCGTTTTTCACTACTAAATAAATGAAGCTTTTATTCTTGGATCTATTGAGTCTCAGCCTATGAGGCAATATTAAGTTCTACAAGTATGTCAAAACAAGCACTTTACTTTGCACTTAATCGGAAGATGACTGCAAGTTGTAGATTTTGCTGAAATA